AGAGCAAAACAAATGTTGTCTTTGAAAAATATAGCTTCAACCTTGTTCTGTTCTCTATGTAGAAATGAATTATTGTGATATTCATATAGTTTGGGGGAAGACCAAGGTTGTTCCTGTGATAACACAGGCTACACTTTGACTTATCATGGATCCATCTGCTATCTTCCACTCCTCTTTCTTTCATCCAACTGTATTGTCAAAGTGGGAAGTGACTGGTATGCAACAGTGGAGGGTAGAGTAATGAAAATAAATTCCTGTGCTGGAAACTATACTATATGCTGTTGAAAACTCACATGATCCTTTGGCAGTTACTGCGTGGTGCTGCTAAGCCCAGCATGATAATTAGCAGTTATTTTACTTTTATTTTTCCATTCAATCATGTACAGACAAATGCCTATGGAGATTCTCAGTCATCCAAGTCATGGTTGTCCCAGAGGTGCTTTTTCAAAAGGCAACTGTCCTTTTTTTTTTCCCTTCAAGATGTTTCACTTCTCATCCAAGAAGCTTTTTCAGTTCTGAAAGTCTTCAAGGAAAACAAAGGAAGTCCAGTTGCCTTTAGAAAATGCACCTTTGGGACATGTCCAGACAGGTCCCTGCAGTTTTCTTGGCAAGGTTTTTCAGAAGGGGTTTGCCATTGCCTCCTTCCTAGGGCTGAGAGAAAGTGACTGGACCAAGGTTATCCAGTTGGCTTTTTGCCTAAAGCTAAACTAGAATTCACAGTTTCCCGGTTTCTAATCTGATACCTTAATCACTACACCAAGCGGATTCTTCTTTACTTAGGCTAAATTAAATAAGAATTTTCAACATATATCTGTCATCAAAAAGAAGTCTTCAGCTTCTATGCCGTTCCTGTAATTTCCGGAACAAATCACATTGGGTTGCTATGATGTCATGGACTTTTGACTTGCTTTCTTATCTCCCAAAAGTAACAACTATAATACGTAGCCTCAGTATAGAAGCATAGAAAGTGATTTTATAAAAGGATTGTTCTGTTGATAGAATCTTGAAAAGGGTGGGGTATGCATCTCCCATTTTGTACTCAGATAAAAATCAAAAGAAAGTCTGCCATGTATTATGTGTATATGTTCATGTTTTAAATATTGGCTCTACCAGAAATGCAGGTAGAATACAATAAATTACCAAGTTCCAAAGGGTATCATAATGCAATCCTACTTATTCACATTTTGCGATCTCTTTCAATATAAATCCTCAACTTAAATCGTCAACTTGGTCACTTGGAACTGCTTGGTCACTGTAACGGTTGCTAATTTAGCAACTGCAATGATTCATTTAACAACCGTGTCAAGAAAGTTCATAAAATGGGGCAAAACTCACTTAACAACTGTCTTGCTTAGCGATGGAAATTTTGGGCTTTTTGTGATCATAAGTCGAAGGCTACATGTAATTTATTCTGTTAAGTGCGAGAGGAATCATTTAAATAGATGCTTGAATTTCAGATCATATTTTATTACAATGGCTATTTGAACTGCTGCTATTGTTGTTACTGCTGCCATTATTGTTGTTGTTTTGTTATAGTTATTGTCAAATTTTTAATATTTTCAACCGCCTTCACCAAAAATGACTTCAAATATAAACTATGGAATTCAATATTAATATAACATGTCTGGAAAATAATAAACCAGCTTGAACAAAGAGAGATCCGATCTTCCTTGTCATTATGAGTTCTTTTAAAGTAAATGCTCATATAAAATGAACGTTTTTGGACTTTGCTATGAATTTTTCCCTCTGACTTACTAACATTGGAAACCATTTCCTTGATTATTTACATCAAGTGAAATTCCTAATTCCTAATTTAACTCTAATTAGTTTTGTTTATTAAATACAGTCACAGACCAAACAGACAAATGAAAGCACCTAGAAAATGGATCGAGCCCAATAACTTTTAATTTCTATCGTACAATTTTAGCTTCAATTCTTGAGACTGCCTGATCCTGTTCATTTAATAAATGGTGCTTGTGAGAACTATCTTAAGTATTTTGTAATCAAAGGAGAGATTAACTCTACTGTCAAAGAGTGGCAAATCGGGCAATTCAGAAATATATGCATTAATGTTTCAATTTCAGAATCTCAGCAGATACATAAATGTTCTTTATAAAATACCACTGAATCTACCCAACAGTACCATTTAGGGGAGAGCATTCAGATGTGCCAATGTAAAAGCCAGAATGAATAAATGACATAAATATTAGGGAATAATGATTCTATTTCTTTATAAAATGAGAATTCTTTACCTGAACAGTCTCCTGGCTTTATTCAAGCCTAGCACAGATAAAGAGTAAGCCCACAATAAGCCAGATTTATCCATTATTTCTTTCTTCCAGGGAGACTGTATCTGCTTACAAAAACTAATAAGACGAATTGCATTAGCTACAATGCGGGGAGCTTGAAGTAGAGACTTGAAGAATTTAGGCTGAACAGCTTTCAACGTCTAAGTAGCCTTGTAAGCAGTGGTGGGATTCAAATATGTGAACAGCCGGTTCTCTGTGTGGATGCCGCTTCCAAAAGTCCATTCTGGGCCTGGGCAACCAAAAATTAGCTGCCGAAGTGATGCGAACTGGCTGAATCCCACCACTGCTTGTAAGCATAACATTACACAGCCTTGGCACTTTAGCTTTAAAAGTTTTAAATGCTGTGGACACAAAATTGTTCTTTGTACAATTGATTGGGGGTTTCAAGAAAGAATTCCAGCAATGGAAGAAGCTAGCTTCAGATCACAGTTTTCCATCACTTACCAATATATCACTTTTACACCACCTCTCTTCATAGTACACTAAGTCTCCTGGAGGTGCCTTTTACACCATTTTTATAGATCTAGAAACAGTGTTTGATTCAATCCTTCATGAGAGGCTATGGCAGCTTCCTCTATTGACTGCCACCTCCTGCAATTAATTATGATGTTGCATTAAAGTGCCGCAAGGCAGATCCAGTTCTTAAATAGTGGAGAGCTGATTGACCTTATTCTGAATCTTAAGTTTATTGTTATAGTAACCATTCCCAAAACTGTGCTTAAAGCTACCAGATGATACTTCTGCACTGATAAAAAGATACACATTCCACCAGGATAAATATGCATATTCAAATACCTACAGGAATATTTATAATAGATGTTCTACATGCCTGGGAAAAAAATTATATTCCCAGTGTTTAATAAATTCCCTTGGGAAAAGGTTTGGTGATACTGTGAATCTCTAAAATGATAAATAACATTATGGCACCCTTCTCTGAAAATAAATACGTACACACACAAAGATAATACTACAACTTTAAAGACTGAAGTACTGAAGTTCACTACTATGACAAATGACTAATATTTATTTTTTAAATTGTTCAATCTCAGCAGCTACCCACTTGTACCAGACACTGTGCTACTTACAAATATTAAGTCTAACGATAAAAACAATTTGAAACAACAATAAAGATGCTGATGCCATTTTAATCAATATATTTTAATCATTTCAGATTATAAAGCACATTACAAAATAACAATTTATAGTTAAATTTTTAAAAATAAAATATTGGTGGTATTTTTATGTCTCTACTAAAATTTTATATGTCTAACAAATATTGTTGCTTTTTATCAATCAGTTATGTTACTTCTGTTTTAATTGATTTGTCTTTTTACTTACTTCATTGGTTCAGCCAAACTAACTCATTCATAAAATGCCAAATAGTAATTTCACTTTTAATATTCATATGAAAATTTTCACATAGGGTTACACATTGTTCCTTAAGTTCTCTTTTTTTATCATTATTACACAAAGTTCATTCTGAAGTCAGTTCTTAAAGAGGTTTACAAAACTATGAAATAGATTGTCCCCTGAACTACAAATTATGTTACATACAAACCTAGAACAAAAGTACTTTAGTAAAACAAGTTGCCTTTTTTCTGAAACTAATACTTAATTGACACAACTTGTTTACATTTAGCAGGCATGCAAGAATAACTGAGTCATTAAAGGAAATTCAACTTGTCCTGTCTGTTTTGAAATGTTACTGGTTGGCAAAGTCTGTTTATTTTTCAGGATGGTCTTTGATTTGTAAGATAAAAAGCTGAAGCTTGTAATGAAAATACTGGGAATTTATTGATGCTCTTTTATATTGATCTTTTAACATATTAATTTACATTAATTCTTCCTTTCAGTGTTATTTTTACAGCAGGGGTGTCAAACTCCCAACATCACGTGACGTGTCACGACATATCCCGACTTTTTTTCCATTGCCAGCAATGGGGTGGACGCGGTTTTGCCATGACGCATCTGGCCTGTGGGCCGGCAATTTGACACCCCTGTTTTACAACATATCATTTATTTCTGTTTTGTGCTGTGTCCCTCTGCAATTGAACCATTTTTATGGTTTTCATTATTGATCTTACTAGCTACCTTGAATTAATTCTAAGATAGGTTTATGTTCAAAGAAAAAAAGATAATTCCTTTTGGCATTGTTTCCATAGTGCATCTTTGTACAAGAGAAGAGACTAAGCACACTCAACTGGATGCCAAAGTTTGTTCAGTGGGGGGGAAATACAAAAATAACGCACTGAAAATTGGTAAAAAGCAGGAGGATGTTGACTGGAAATATGAACTCTCACGAAAACCTGGTATCCATTCATCTCATGATCCTGCAATAGAAGTCTGTATCTTCTCAGGAAAAAAAACACACCACCTATTAAATTCAATAGGACTTATCCCAATTGGGAAAATGATTTCAGCTTTAAAGTCTTACCTCAATTTCAGTGCCCTTTTCTAGAAAATAAATGCTTTCGCAGAATGGGCAGTTGCAGTAAAACTTATTAATATAGTTGCAAGGTATTACAGCAGCAGCACAAGAGAACTTATGTGAAAGTATCTCCCAATGGGGGTTTTTTTGTACTCTTTAAATGGTGGCCGAAATGCATGATTAAAAAAAAAAAAGATTAAAAGAGAGCAACAGTAAATAACCCCAAGGTATTCTTTTGTTTGTTTCTTTGTTTTGGTACATAGGTTGATGACCAAATGAAGCTCCTTCAAAACTGCTGGAGTGAACTCTTAATTCTAGATCATATTTATCGGCAAGTGGTACATGGGAAGGAAGGCTCCATCCTTCTAGTCACTGGGCAACAAGTGAGTTTGCATAGTAAAATTGTTGAGTTTTTTTGTATTAATGACCTTGCAAATGCTCAGATTTTAGACAGATCAGAAGCACTGCTGGGTCACACTGAAAGCACTTTCCACTGAACTGAGATGTAGGTTCTAGCAGAATATTAGTAAAATGAAAAGGGTTCTCTGTCCTAATGGCAAATTTTACACAATATATATTGTAAAATTATATAAATAATTTATATAATTATATATATAATATATATAATTGTATATATAATTTTTAAATGTATTCATATGAAAGATGAAGAGGATGAAATTTGTTAGCAAAATGCCTGGAAGAAACAACATCAAGATAAATGGCCATGTCCCTTTATTTCTATGAATTTATGTCGAGTAAATCATGGATCAGGCTAACCCTTTGCTAATTGTACATCTTTTAAAGAAAAAAAAATAGTTCAGCTGAATTTAAAGCAGATAATATGCTCCCCTGGGGAAACAACATTCAATGCAGACACGGCTAGATTAGATCATTTGTGATAATAAGTACTGAAGGAAAACCTTCAGAAAGTGTTTAACTTATATAACTTGCAGCTTAGGAATCTTTATACTTTCTTCAAGATTCCTTCTTGTATCCCCGCTCTACAAATATAGAAGTTTGAACGGAATACAGAGTTCTAGTTCAAATACAAAAAATGTCTAAGGCATAAAGAGGGAGAAAACACGCTGAAAATCAAACATGCAAGCCCTGACACAAATCTTACAATTAGAGATGAGACTGAGCAGAAGGCCTGGTGGTCAGAATAAAGCTGTCAGCACCACGGACGGCTCTTCTCCACGGCTATCGAAACACTGGATAAATTAGGAGAAGTTAACTGTATTTATCCATCTGTTCAGCATGCACAACCGTATAGGTAAGATAAATCATAGAGCAGCATTCACAGAATTTGTATTTACTTACCTAATCACTTTAAATGTGAGGTGCATGCAACCCATCCACATTATTCTACTCTATTGTACTATTATCTCAAGCACCGCAATTGAAGCGTAGTCAGGTGCCCGAACAATGGGACAAAGTTAGGGCATTTGTGTTATCAGAAATCGAGGGCTTGTTTGAGTATGGGAGTATGGGAGAGAAAGGCAGACCCAATTAGGGAATCAGAAACAGCTTTAAAAGTGAAAAGAAAATTCCCTATAGGGTCCATTCCTTCAGGAAGTTCCCTCGCACCGTCCTGAATAAAATGAACGCAGCCCGCTTCAGAGCACTATAGCTTGATAGGTTGTCACGAGAGAACATCCTTGTGTCGTGGCCATACTCATTTGTAATTTTCAAGTAAAATAAATGAGAGTGACAAGGCAAATTAAATCAAAACCTTACCCTTTGAACATTTATTACAGCTCTAATGGAAAAGAATGTACAGTGTCATGGGAAGGCAGAGTGCATTTTGTGCATTTTATTTCTGATTCAAAGTGAAACCAAATGATGGTCCACTGGCATTTAAGTAGCTGAAACCTAAACTGCCTCAATTTAAATACATACGAGGAAACAGTTGCTTGTTTTGACTGTCGTCCACATTATTCAATTGCTCTCCAAAATTTACATAGAGAGTCTTAGCCCTAATTTAAACCATGTAAGCCATTCGTTTGCATTTATATGGATTGTTGTATGTGCTCTACATTAGGTAAAGGAGACATACATTATATATGAAGCAGGTGAGTTCAACCCTTTGATCGCAGCTTCATTAACTATGGCCATGGTCAAAATTAAGCTGTTTAAAAACTCATTGATGTCAATAAACAACATGCTTCAGTGCACCCCTGGAAATGTGGACCCTTTAGTGGAGGGGGAAATTTAAGGGATAAGAGAGTCAGTAGGTCTAGCGGTTAAGTAGGTCTAGTGGTTAATTCTAGTCCCACCTTAGGGATGAGTCACTTGGGCTACTCGTTCTCTCTCTCTCCCATTGCTTTTTTACAGAATTACTCATGGTCATTCGGTTTGTCAGTTTCTGTAAGGAAACATCTCTGAAAGGATGACCCAATAGGGCATGGGTTGTCCAGTCAAAGTTCTAAAGTTCAAATACAATAAGAAATATTGATATAATGCAAATCTCAAACAAAGCTCAGAAAATACCAGGTGGGAAAGAAAAGCAAGAGAGGAAGACATGAACACAAAATTTGCTTAGGTTTTATAAACCATGATTAGTAATAAATTAAATTAGGCTTTTCTGTCCGTACACTCACTGTGCTCATTAGAGCCTGGATTGAAGGGGGAAATGGCCCAAATCAATAGCCAAGTTTTGAATTGTTTTATTCAATTAAGATTCTGCAGCAACTCTGCCCAGTGAGTTCTGCATCCTTTTTTGAGATACGAAAGCAAAACTTTCATTTGACTAGAGAAATAACTACTTAAAAAGTTTCTCCATAGAGAACCTGTCTGGTGTAGTGGTGAAGGTGCCAGCCTAGAAACCAGCAGACTGTGAGTTCTAGTCCTGCCTTAGCCATGAAAGACAGCTGGATGATCGCAGCCTCTCTCTGTCTCTCTTAGTCTAACCCTTGTTGTGAGGAATATAGGATGAGGAAGGACTATTTGTTTGCTGCCTTGAGGTATTTATAAAAATAATAAGGACGTGAGAAAAATATTTAAAAATGAAATGGGTCCTTAGATCCTTACGACATCATGTCACCTACTAAAACTCATGAAGCCCACTCCCAAAATGGATGTAATCTTTGGAGTTTTGGAGTGCAATGCCCAATGTTGCACACAAAGCAAGCTATGATTCTTGCGCTGATGGAAGATGAACGCCTCTTTCTTAGGAAAAATATTGTTTGTTTGATTTCTATAGTCACCCATTTCAGCAAACAACCCTGGGCAGCTATAGAAATCAAATCAAATCAAATCAAATCGAAAGAAAGAAAGAAAGAAAGAAAGAAAGAAAGAAAGAAAGAAAGAAAGAAAGAAAGAAAGAAAGAAAGAAAGAAAGAAAGAAAGAAAGAAAGTTTTATAACTTTCCCAACCAGGTACTCTCTAGACATGATGCAATTATAATGCCTCAAATTCAGTTCTGCTTGGGAATTCTGGGTAATGTACTCCCAACCCAGCTGGAATCTATAAAACCAAAAATGACAGTCTCAGGAATTGTACCGTATAGAAGAATTTTCCAAGAGCTATGAAGTTTTTTTATTCAAATAAAATACACGGCGAGGTAGTTCCACAAATCACTTTCAAAGCCATCAATAAAGGAGTACGGATTGCTAAAACATCATACAGTAAAGCATTTAGTCACATTTAAATAATAGGCACAAGCACTGATTGTAAACTCAAGGGATCTTTAGAAATGTTTGTTTCTTTTATTCCTAGGCGGAGATACAGTCTCCAGTTAAATCAAAATCATGTCTAGATTGGACTAGCTTCACTTTTGGCCCTGCTTTGTCAAACTATTTTCAACCCAACATCACATATGTTTCTGATGGCATTCATCACAGTAACCTTGAAGGCTGCGCAGATTTCATTTTCAATTTTAGTCATCCTATAATCTCTTTCATAAACTTAAAATTTAATTAGAAATACGAATGGAAAGAAGGATGGGAATGGAAGAGGAAATAAGCAAATTTAATATACTAATTTTGACGTTAAGAATTATGACCTTTCAGGTGTTCCTTGAAATCAAATTTTGCATCCCTTACAACCATCCCAATCTGACATTAAATTAGGGACAGGCAACATTTATGCAGTGACATGGATTTTAAAATCTTTTTTTGGGGGGGGGACTAAAAACACATTGGATTTGTGGTAGTGACACGGTGTGGTTTTCACCAGATGGGCAAGATCAAAATGATTAAAGTCCCACTTTTCATTTTGCTACTCACATTTCAGAGTTTTAATAAGAATATCCATTTTATTTGTTTAAGGAATTCTTTAAAAATACATTTTATTTTTTTTCTTTAAAGATAGTTTTGGCAATGCAATCTTGAGAATCTTCCAGGGATTGAAGAACAGGAATGTAGGTCTACACATGGACCACTCTCCCTCATTACCACTGCTACAATAAACACTGCCATTTGCAGTTACCATTTCTGAAATTCAAAAAGAGGTTCTGCTCTTTGTAAAATACACATTACTCATTCATATTGGAGTGAGCTTTCAACTTTCATGAGCCTTCAAAACTGTTCTCCAAATTGCCGAGTGTAATGCCAGTACGGTTGTCAAAATGGCAATCTTCTATTAACATTTTCCCTATTATCAGCTATGGCCATCCCACAAAGATTGAATCAGCAGATGCCACATTTACTACACAGTTGCTACTCTTATTACTCTGAGAGGGATCCCAGCTCAATTTATTTTGTTTTCATCCCTGTTATTTTTCTATCAAAATACTGTAATGTGCAGAAATCTGAGAATAAAGATCCTCGCTCTTTAAAAATGCCTAGCATTCCTCTAACATAACAATCAGATATTCCAATATAATTTGTGCACAGAAAACAAAAATCACATACATGCAATCCTAACTTTGAAGAACACATTAAAAAACTTCGCCATGTTCCATCTTTTTTTTTTTTGCACCATCCTAGGTTGTTTGATGTTCTACAGAATGCTTTACTGTGCATTAGACCAGATCTTAACTCTTAAATTTTATTCCTGAGCTGATCCGCAAGCAAATGCATGCATGAATGGTCCCTTTAGTTCAGGGGTCTTCAAACTTGGCCCTTTTCTGACTTGTGGACTTCAACTCCCAGAATTCCTCAGCCAGGCACGCTGGCTGAGGAATTATGGGAGTTGAAGTCCACAAGTCAGAAAAGGGCCAAGTTTGAAGACCCCTGCTTTAGTTAAACTGGATGGTAAATTGGCCCATATGCCATTGCGAGTGTGTAAATGCTTTTTCTTCTTGCAAAGTGGTACCAGCTGACATTGTGCTAGTACAGCAGCCTCCAATATCCTTTGCTAGTGTCTTATGGCCATAAATCTCTTCAAACTATAGTGCATGTAGTATGCTTGACTTTTTGATTAACTTTAGTAAGATAGATATTACACCTGTCCCA